TGAGTGGCCTCATGCAGCCATACAGGACGAGTTTGCAAACTCAGGTTTTTCTGCCCCTTTTTATAAAGCCATTATTCCATCATGAGGGTCACCCCCCACCCCTTCAGACTTCATCTAATCCTAATTACTTCCCAAAGGCCCTCCACCTCCAGATACCATTAACATGTGAATTTCCAACGTGTGAACTATTAGTAGACCTATTAAATCATAACTGACCTCCAAATGCTACCCAGATTTACTGATGTTGAGAGATCTGGTGGTATTTTAATGTAGCGATTATATATCACAGTTATTAGTCAGGCTGTGTCCACCCCCTGCAAGCAATCATTCCTCAGTACTCGGCATCTGGAAGTTAATTTAGATCACCCTCGTGCAAACTTACGGACTTAAACTACAAACACCCACATGTATAAACACTATCCATATGCATAACGTTGTTTCCCACGAAGCATTGAGGCATAGTAGTTATTTTGTAGTGAAGTTTGACACAGTCCTTCCTGAACATTTCAGACCTTTTCAGCCACAGGGAGCTCTGTTAAAATGCTTGCTGTCATGGCTCAGTCAGGAATGTGCTTTTCCACACAAGCAGGAGAGCCTGAATCTCATCTCCAGAGCCCACGCTAAAAAATTGGATGCAGTGGCATACAATCGTCATTCTAGGACAGGGGAGGTGGAAATAGGAAGAGGTCTGAGGATTGTTGGCCAGCCAGGCTAGATCAGTCAGTAATCCGCAGGCCAATGAGAGACTCTATCTCAAAACTCAAGGTAGATGGCACCATATTTACACACACACACACACACACACACACACACACACACACACACACAGGTTGTATTAATTCCAGCACTGTTCAGTTTAACAAGGATCAGAGATCAGAGCTTTGAACAGGGACTAGGGGCTGGGCTCAGGCATCTCACCTCCTCTCCCTAGAGCTGTTGACTAGGGCAGAATCTGTATACTGGCTAACTAAGTGTGACAGGGGACGATAAATATGAACCTGGTTGAGGTTCATAGGAGATTGGCGCTGCTCACTGAGATCAGGAGTAGACGAAGGAGCCTGGTAGAGCAAGGTGAGTCATCCTCTTTTGAAGCCTGTTGAGTTTGAAGAAGCCTGCAGGGCTACTCCAGGTTAGGCCCGAATGAACCAGACATACTTCTTAGGCTCCATGGTGTTGTGTGGGCTTTCATCTGGGGAGATACTGTGGTTTGAATCTGAGATCTCCCCTTCCCCATAGGTTCACTTGGTCTCCAGCTGGTGACACTCTGTAAAATGAGGTGGAACCTCCCTGGAGGAAGAGGGTCACGGGGTGAGCCTTGAGGATTTACAACCTGGCCCAACTTGCTGTTCTCTCTGATTCCTGACTGGTTGGAGGCAGTGTGACCGCCTGTCATCACACCTTCCCCAAGGGCGACAGACTATATGCCCTCAGGCTGTGAGCCAAACTCAACTCCTCTTAGCTTAAGTTGCTTTCTGTCAGATCTTTAGTCTCAGCGGGGAGCTGTCTTGAAAGTCTGTGGTGCAGCTCCATTTGGAACAGAAACATGGCTCCGTCTCCCAGATTTCCATAAAAACTGCCACAGCGCTGGCTATGATGAGGATCTCAATTTCTGTGATCCTAATTGCTTCAAAAAAGCCCAACATCAGATGTCATTAACATGTGACTTTCCAAAACATGAACTGTTGGTAGACGGGCATACTAAATCACAGCTGACATCCCAAATGATGGCAAGATGTTTATGTGTGACTGAAGTGTAGCAGAGAGAGGTAACATTACCTGTCACATCTAATTCAAAGGTTAGTTCTGCTTGAAGCATCCCCTCTCTGATCTGCTGGCATCTTCTCGGTTGATTATTTAAATCCTCCCTGAGGGGAATCTCTACTTGTTGAGACCCATACTCTTCCTCCTTCCCTATGCCTTCCTGCTTGGAACACTTCAGAGAGCCCCTGCCTTTCCTGGATTTGGGCCAAGAAAGCACATGTGTGACCGTGGGGATCCTTCCTTTCCCAGGCATTTGTCTGGGGTCCTAATCTTGAATCTGTCTGCAGGGAAGGGGTTTCCACTCAAATGAAACCACATGAGCCTTTTGCTGCTGGGGCCTCCCCAGTCAGCAGCTGGTCAGTAGCAGGAAAGCCTGCCTCTTTTTGCATCAGGGATAGATGCCTGCCTCTACTTCCAGTCCTGACTTCAAAGCCAGCAGACTGTCCTGAGAGCCTCTTTTGCATGATCAGAATCTGCCCCAAGGTGACTCAAGTGAAAATGTGGGGTGGATCTGGGGAGAGCTGGGGTGGCCAGCATCGTTGCTGTTCTAGGTATCTAGAGACTCAGGAATGTAAGGGTGGCCATGGCTAAGCCTTGGGCCCTGGCTTCTTCCAGTTTCTTTGCTTTTTTTCCCTTGATAGTGTCTCATGTACCCAGGATGGTGAGACATGCGTGGGGCTTCATGCATGCTAGGTGCACGTCCTGACACCGAGCTGCATCTCACTCCCCCTCCTCCCCCTCCTCCCTCCCTCCTCCTCCTCTCCCTCTTTCTCGGTCTTTTCTTCCTCCTTGTTCCTCTCCCTTCCCTCTCTCCTCTTTCACCTTCCTTCCTCCTCTCCCTCCTCCATCTCTTCTGTGTGTCTGTCTGTCTGTCTGTCTTGCTCCCCCGTTCTAATACAGGTGGTCCCCTGAGCCCCTCTCATTGCCTCCCGCCTGGCCACCTACCCTCTCCCTACCTTCACCTTGTTTGTGCTGACTCTAACAGAGTGACCTTTGCCCCTTAGCCCTCTGTGTTGAACAGTCTGAGTGCTGGACAGGATCTCCAAGGCTTTTGGGGGGCTGCCAGCTGTCCTGGGACTGGGTCTCCTCTGGGCTGGCCAATAGGGTTGGCTCAGTGGGGTTACAGAGCCCCCAGACTGCTTCCCAGGGAATGGGGATGTAGTGCAGTTCTGAAAAGACAATGGGAACTGGATTTACTAGATGCCTAGTACAGGCACCCAAATCCTAGAACCTTACCAATTAACTTACAGGAGGTAGGTGATCCTAAACAGGGTTCAGGCTTTAAGAAATTGGGGCCTGTAAACTGTTCTACTCTTGCTTGGCCAAGCATCCACATCTCTGAAACCATAAATAAGCTCCACAGCTTGCGGCCACACCAAACATGCAGGGCCCAGGATTGAGCCCGCGGTTCAAACATTTGCTTTACTCCTAGGCTAGCCTGCAATCAGAAGGTTGTTTATTGCCGGCTGTTACTCTGATGCACAAAATAGGTCATTTTAACTCGACTTAGCTAGGTTTTTGTTCATGAATGCTTCTGGTACTTCTGAAAGGGTTCCTCCGACGTCCAGGGTACTGGGTCATAGTGACAGGAAAAGAGATGACAAGCAGAGAGGTTTAGACCAGCTTCAGTCGGGTTCAAGTCCACTTCTCTGTGCTCTGGGCTGCTAGGGCAACCCGCCACCCCCCACCCCTACCCCCACCACACACACACACACACACACACACACGCACACACGCGCGCACACACGCGCACACACACACACACACACACACACACGCACACACTCCAAGCTCCTTAACAGTCTTTGGTCACAGACCGGCCATGATTCAATTTACTCAGTCTAGATTAACCCAGTGTGTATATGTGGGTCGTGGGACAGAGAATAGGAAAATGCATGTCCTACTCTGACACAACTGGAAACCATTACGGAGCTGGGGTCCTTCGAATTAAAACGGAAAAGGGGGGTGCTTGCCTTACAAAATGGGCTCGCATAACTTAGTCACACATGAATGTTAATGGAAGTGAAAGTGAGCTTGCTTCCTTGGCACAGGTGGTTTCCGTTTGGGGAACCGGAAACCTCAGCCTACAGATGCAGGACCTTTGGGCTTCCTTCTGATAGAAGTCTGAGTGCTCCCCTCTGCTCGCTCACAGAGCCCCACAGTTCCCACTTAGCCTCTCTGCGTCTCTAAGGCTCACCTGGGTATTCTCAGCTCTCCGGCTGCTGGGTCCATCTGTACACTGTGAGAAACCCTCCTCTTGCCCAGCATCAGAGAGAAGTGGGCCGCAGTTCTGACAGCATGAGTTAATCATCACAAGAAATACTGGCAAGCAGGGGATGCTTGTATTCCCTGGAGACAGCTTAACAACTCTGGGTAAATATTCCAGTCCAACTGACTGCCTTCTCCAAGCCTTCATCCCTACTCCACCACACACAAACTTCCTTCCCAAAAGCCAGGGTGAGCCAAAAGCAATACAGTGGGTCCCTAGTAATTCCCAAAATAAGAATGATACTTCCAAACAGTTGGCCATGACTGCTGTTATTCTGTAATACTTATATATTGATTATGTGTGTGTGTGTGTTTACACACAAGACTAGTGTTATTCTATAGTATTTATATATTAATTATGTATAGATAGATAGAAAGAAAGAAAGGAAGGAAGGAAGGAAGGAAGAAAGAAAGGTAGATAGATACACATGGGCAACATGGTTTTGATTGCATACTTGTACAGTGGCAATATGCCTGTTTTTGCCCTCAAGATACAAACAGATTCTTATTTTCATGTATGTATGTGTCTCTACAGCAGTGTGTGTGCATGTATGTGGGAAAACGTATACATACCTGTACATACATGTATATGTGTGGGTACATGTGAAGACCAAAGGTTGACATCAGTGTCTGTTTGTTCATTCTTCACCTTAGGTTTTGAGACAGTCTCTGGATTGAACCCAGACATCATTGATTTGGCTCGTCTAGCTGGCCAGCTTACCTTAGGGATCCTTTGTCCCTGCCTCCTTAGCACTATGATTGCAGGCAGGATGCCATGCTTTCCTACTGAGTCATGGCTCCATGCCTAGGCCAGATTGCCTTTAAAATAAATCTCAGTTCTGGTGCACCACATGTCTCAGACCCCAGCACTGACCTTTCCTGTCTCTGTGCCCTGTAGCCCTCACCAGGGGCTCTGCCCTACCGAGCAGGTTGTTCCACTAATGCACTCTCTGCTAATGCCCCCTCTCTAGAATAAGAAAATCTACTTGGATATCATTCACACGTACATGGAAGTGCACGCTACTGTTTATGGCTCCAGCACGAAGAACATCCCCAGTTATGTGAAGAATCACGGCATTCTCAGTGGGCGTGACCTGCAGTTTCTTCTCCGGGAAACGAAGGTAACTTCCCAGCAGACTCATAAACATTTGTGTGGCTTATGGGTTTGTCCCCCAGCGTTGGAAATGGGATCAGAATCTTTTATGCTTTGCTGTTGTTGTATTTGGGGGGGGTTGTTTGTTTGTTTGTTTTTCGAGACAGGGTTTCTCTATGTAGCCCTGGCTGTCCTGGAACACTCTGTCGATGATGCTTTCTCTTCAGTGGTGTAATAGAACTTTAGGCAGTAAGTTAAGGATGTAGTTCAGAGCTTGGCCAGCACACATAGGACCAAGTGGGAGTTGTACTGTAGTATCTGAAGTTTTAGTAACTATTAGTATTTGTTGAAACAATTCACTTAATGATGATTTCACAGAGACATTGGCTAACCTAAGCTATCAGGTTTTCTGGGTGTTTATGTACATATGTATACTTTACAGTTACAAAACCTTTACCTGTGTCTTTGTGTTTCAAATGTATCTGTGTATTGGCTCTGGAGGAGAAAGGTCCGTGCTGGACATGATGTCACACGCCTGTAACCTCAGCACTTGGGATTTAGAATCGGGTTGATCAGAACGTCAAAGGCATCTTCCAGCATGTAGGGAGTTTGTTGTCAGCCTAGGATATCTGAGACCTTGTCTAAGCTCTAAGCAGTAGCCAGGCAGTGTTGTCCTAGAGCAGCTATTGAAAAAGAAGTGAATGAATTGTAAATTGTGGTTGCTACAAATTCATTCCCCGATTTTGTTTAAAATTTGCATTTTGCAATTAGAAGTTAAGAAAAAGACACATTTACTAGAGCTCAGTGGCAGCAAGGCTATCTCCAGAACCCCAAGAAATTAAATTTAAAAACCCCTGTTTATGGGGGAGTTTTCTTGTGCAGGGCATCTGAGAGTGTAAAGGAAAGGCCCTGCCTTGTGTAAGGGTGGCCGTCAGATAGGGTAAGGAAGGTCACAGCTGTCCAATTCCCAGCCAGTCACTGCCTCAAGGAACCCAGTCCCTGACCTGCTCTCCTCACAACCCTTCCTCAGATGAAGACAAAGGCCCGCTAACTGTGAGATTGCTGGGCAGCGGTGGTGCATGCCTTTAATCCCAGCACTTGGGAGGCAGCCTATCTGTTTTTCCCGATCCTTATTATCCCACGATATATCTCTGTGAGTTCAAAGCTAGCCTGATCTACAGAGCTAGTTCCAGGACAGGCTCCAAATCTACACAGAGAAACCCTGTCTCGAAAAACAAAACAAGAAAGAAAGAAAAGAAAGAAAATCTGTGAGATGACCAGGGTATGGAACTAAGGAAGGAAGGAAGGAAGGAAGGAAGGAAGGAAGGAAGGAAGGAAGGAAGGAAGGAAGGGGAAGGAAGGAAAGGGAAGGAAGGAAGGAAGGAAGGAAGGAAGGAAGGAAGGAAAGGGAAGGAAGGAAGGAAGGAAGGAAGGAAGGAAGGAAGGAAAAGAAAATCTGTGAGATGACCAGGGTATGGAACTAAGAAAGGAAGGAAGGAAGGAAGGAAGGAAGGAAGGAAGGAAGGAATGAAGGAAGGAAGGAAGGAAGGAAATCTGTGAGATGACCAGGGTATGGAACTAAGGAAGGAAGAAAGGAAGGAAGGAAGGAAGGAAGGAAGGAAGGAAGGAAGGAAATCTGTGAGATGACCAGGGTATGGAACTAAGGAAGGAAGGAAGGAAGGAAGGAAGGAAGGAAGGAAGGAAGGAAGGAAGGAAATCTGTGAGATGACCAGGGTATGGAACTACCTGGCATTTGGACCATACAGAATCAGATTCAGGCGGCCAAGGTGCCAGTGACATATTCAGGAGGTAATTAAATCCAGTCTACCCAGTGTAGCTATATTTGATGTTAGACTACAACATTTGATAAGGAAATGGGGTCTGGTTGTCACAGTTTGGGGCCGAGTCCAGACCCTGTGGCATAGATGGTCGGACACCCTCTAAAGATTGTTTATTTGTATATGAGTACATGTTTATACTTGAGTATATCTATGTGTGTGCACATGGATGTGTAGAAGCCAGAGGTCAGTTTTGGAAATCATTCCTCGGGTACCATCCACACCTGGTGGAATTTTTTATGTATTCATTTTATTTCACATGTATGTATACATGTGTGCCTGAGTATGTTCACATGTGCATGCAGTACCTTGAGGTCAGAGGAGTCACGTGAGCCACAATGTGGATGCTAGGAATTGAGCCAGGTCCTGCAAAGGCAGGAGGAAGTCTTTAACTGCTGAGCTAAGTCTCAGCCCACACATTGGGCTTTTTGTCGTTTATGCTTGTTTTTGTTTTTTTTTAGGTAGGGGTTTTCACTGGCCTTGAGCTCACCAAATAGGCTAGGCCAGCAGGACTGTGAACATGAGAGTTCTGCCTGTCTCTGCCTCCCCAGCGCTGGGTTGCAAGCATCCACCTCTGTGCCTCACTTATTTTATGTGGACTCTGGGGTTTGAATTCAGGTTGAATCATGAGCACTTTACTAACCAGGCTGTTTCCCCAGCCCAAGGCTTCAGTTTTAGAAGGTGCATCTGGCAGTAGCTTTTGGGGTAAACAGAACAGACACCCGCTTGGATTCAGGTATCCCAGCTTCCCCCAGTAACCAAGATCAAGCCCTGGAGGAGCCTACAACTCCTGATGCTTACTAACTGGGAATTCAAGCTCTGCTGGGCCTTTGTTTTGCGTACCATCTTCATAAACACCCACACTCAGGAACACTTAGTAAAAGGGTAGAGGGTAAACTTACAGGGTAAAAGTGCTTAACCTGAAACCATGAAGACCTGAGTTTGGAATCCCAAGACCCACCTGAGGCCAAATGTGAGACCATACATCTGTAATTCCAATGCTTCTGTGGCAAAATGGGGGGCAGGAACAGGAGAACCCCCAGAAGCTAACAGGTCAGCCAGCCCGGTATACAGCTGTGAACAGCAAGTGATTCTGTCTCCACCAACATGGGGCTGGGCCAGTGACACCTAAGATTGACCTCTGACCTCCATACTTGCATACTTGCACACACACAAAGGTTTTTATTTTATTTATTTGCTTTTCATTTGTTTGTTTGTGTTTTGAGACAGGGTCTCTCTACATAGCCCTGGCTGTCCTGGAATTCATTGTGTAAGCTAGATTGGCCTCAAATTCACAAAAATCCACCTGCCTCAGCCTCTTGAGTGTGGAGATTAAAAACATGGGCCACCATGCTGGGCCACACAAAGATTTCTTTTTAAAAATGGGGTGGGTGGGAGCCAGCAATGCGGCTCACCAGGTAAAGGAACCTCCTGATCACACCTGAGGACCTGAGTTTGATTCCCAGAACCCACAAAAAGGTGGAAAGAAAGAGAACTCTTTCTCTGTCCCCTGAGCCCCACTTACATGCTGTGACATGAATGCACATGCATCACACACACACAATCATGCAATTCAACTCATAAACAAAATCTGAGGCTGTTCACCAGTTAAATCTGGATTTTGTCCGTTTCTCCATCCATAAACACACTTGGTTCTTTTTTTGCTTCCAAATCATTTTCAAGTGTGATTCCAGAGATAAAAACATTCTGATAAATTTCTTAACTCTTGGCCAAACACTGGGTTTCTTTTCCTGAGGACTTTAATTCCCTAACAGGTCATGCATTGTCTGACGGCTGCCCATGGCTCTATGGGTGAGGGACACTCCACTGTCACTGTTCATGATGACACTTTTGAGTCATCGGGGTGAGCGGGCCTTTTTATGGCAGCAGTGCTATTTTCTGCCATTTGCCTCATTTTACTCTTCTTTGGTGAGATCCAGCGGAAAGTTCAAGTTCCTTTAAAATAACGCGGTGGCAGACCTCGTTTCCACAGTGTGTCATTACCGTCTCACACGCTTTTATTAACCCGACCTTGGGAATGTCTCCCTCAGCCTTGCAGATTTTAAAAGAACCCTATTTGCCTACCATCCCTTTACCTTGTCAGAGAATGAGAAATAGGCCGAGCCTGAGGTCCAGCCTGTCTAAGGCAACACAAGAAAAAAGCCTCTAAGAGCCGGCTATGAGTTTGGAGTAGGCTACACAGTCAAGAGTGAAGCTTGGTTCCTGAGTATGAAAAATGTGTGTGTGTGTGTGTGTGTGTGTGTGTGGTTAAGAGCACATACTGCTCTTCTTTGTTTTGTTTTGTCTTTGCATGTTTGTCTAGCCCTGGCTGTCCTGGACCTCACAGAGATTCACCTGCCTCTGCCTTCTGAGCACTGGGATTAAAGCATGTGCCACCAACACCCAGCTACCTCCTGTTCTTAGAGGACCAAAGCTCAGTTTTCAGGCACAACCTCCTTTAACTCCCCTTCCAGAGGATCAAATGCCCTCTCGTGCCCTTAGTAAGTACTGCAAACATGTGGTACAGAGATAAACGTGTACATATTTACATAAACTTTTTAAGTAATTAGTTTGAAACTGGTGCCTTATGATGATGCCCTAGGTGGAATTATGTAGTACCTGTTTCTCTGATAAGAATATATTAGGACTGGAGAGATGACTCCCTAATTATGAGTATATGCTGCCTTTCCAGAGGCCCCAAATTCTGTTCCCAGGACCCACACCTACCTGCAACAGCAGCTCCAGAGGACCCCATACCTCTGGCCTCCATGGGCACCTGCACTCATGTGCACACACACACACACACACAATTTAAAATACAAATAAATCTTAGAGAACACATTAAAGCCCTCCATGTGGAATTATGACTCAAGTTGTTGGCAGATGGTGAGGAACAAAAGGTGGTATGTGGCCAAGACTCCCTTTCCACTGAGAGCCCAGCAGCAGGCAACTGAGCTGAATGAATCTGGAGTTTGGAAAATTAACACAAACCAGTCTTCGTTCATACCCTTTCCACTTGTAAGTCCTTCCCCTGTGCCTCTGAGCACCCTTGAAGCAACTTATTCTCATCCATGTTGGAAGGAAAGGGCAGGAGCTGCCAAAGACACATATCTGTAAAACGAGTAGATCCTCCTCAGGCTCAGCTAGAGAGGGAAGGAGCCTGGTCTCTCCCCAAGATCTCACCCCAGGA